ACCCAGTGGCGGCTCGTGGTATAACATATTGGGGGTGCACATAATTTGTAATTCATAATAAATGCCGAAAGGGGGATGCCCGTTGTTTTGCTGGCGCATTTGGCCACTAATTTTTTAAATTAATACTTTACAGGTAGAATGTTAAAATTTGAAGAATGATAAAATTAAATTTAAAGTTGTTTGATATTAATTTGGGAGTGCACGTGCACATGTGCTCTTATGGAGGAACCGCCACTGTCCAAACCTAACAGCAATGAAATAGAGAGAGAAAGGGATCCCCCACTATATAGCTTTCTTTGGACGCACTAAGAGAGATGAAAAATGCCATACAAATGCCATATCCGACAACGGTCGGTGCCATTCCAGGTACCATCGTCACCAAAAGTATCTGGGACACAAATAATGCCTAATAATCTCCTGGGCTGCGTTCAGGAATGACTACAGCCAAGCCAAAATTGGCATTTTGCGTTCGATTTCGGCTCCAACCTACGTGGTTCGGCATTACAGGTGGAGGGGGAAAAGTAGGTTTTGGCATTAGCATTGCCGTCCTTGAACGCAACCCTGGACTAATTCTACTGTCATTCATTTTAATGCATCATATTCATAGTTTGACAAATATTTGACAATAAAATTCATATAATAGGACAAGAGCTAATGTGATGCTGCCCCAGTTACTTTTGGTGACGATGGTACGTGTTTATAGTTCATTGTGCACAACACGTGGTCTTTCTCCTTCCCTTTTTATCCCGTACAAATAAAAAGGACGGATTGCTGTACGTAAGTCTAACATAATTTGGTATGTTTTGCCTCGTCTTGCGCAATGAGCGACCTTTTCAATTTAAAAACCTCTCTCTCTGGCATCAAACTGTCAGACGCCAAAAAAGTATGAAAACAATGGTTGACAGCCGTTGACAGTGGTTTGTAGACAATACTTTTGAAAGAAACTATTATTTCCTCGGTGTTTTCAAGGTTTTTTCCTAGCAATGGTGATCGTGTGTAGTGTGCCTATTCATAAAAATAATTTATATTCACTGGCGGACGTATCTTTCCATAAGTTTCCATCAAATCCTACATTTGTCAAAATTTGGATACACCAAATCAGAAAGGATACCCGCAAAAGAAAGGAAAATCCACGGCCCATCAAGTATACAAAGTAATCCACGTTCAAGTTTAGTTGGCAGAAGCTGTTTGCTTCCAAAATAATCCACCGCCGTCTCCAAAGCGAAGTTCTCCGAATGAAGTAGTGACTTTTCCCACATTTTCTTTCCAATTTCAAACCCTGCGTTTTTATTCACATCAAATTTTACCGATGAATCCATCATTCTATGTCGGTCATTGTCATTTTCCATTCACTTAACAAAGATAGCTACCTCATCGGTGAAGTCACCGATTCGAATAAAAACGAAGGGATTGCTAACCACCCAATAAACATTGACATTGACAAGCAAGCAAATGTTGGCGGGAAAATGAATGTTTTCATACTTATCGTCCATCTCTTTTAATTGAAAACGTCAATAGAGCTTTCTTATTATTACCTCTTTGTCTGGTAAAATAGATAGGTCTATTGATTCAACACGTCGGGAACTTTCAATGTTGATTTATGGTCAAGCTTCGCAGTGCACAATACTTCATCCGTTATTTGGCCACCTCGTTGGAAAGCGACCATTTGGGTTGCGTGGAACGTCCTCTTACCATCAAGGGTGTCTGTCAGAATATCGATGTTGTCCGCCTTTGCTGGTTCCGCTGGTTCATTGCTGCTGTCAGTTTTGGACACCTTTATCTCTGGACACCTTGAAATGCCCCGCTGAGTGTAGGAGAGTTACAAGTTTACGAGATCATGTCTGCTGATGTACAGATAAAGCTAATCCGATATGTTTTGGTGTCAGCTCCTTACTCACAGCATAGACTATAATCTTGGTCTATAGAGAGCTCAACGTTTTTGGGTGAAGGCCATACTTGCACAGTTTCTAAGGTCTCGTCGTCTTCTTCATCATTGCTTGAGTCATCGTCTTGGTCATCGACAACGTCGTCGAGAACTTGGTCTCCACTTATCAGTACGCTCAGGAATAAATGAAGATTTTGCGGTATGACTGCGGCAGCCTCTTCTTGGGAAACATGAAGCCCTCTGGGTGACCTGGCGAATCTTGCAGCTCCCCTCTAAGAAGCATGGACAAGAATTGAGAAATCATCATTGAGTACTTGTCTTGGGATCGAGATATCTTGATCGATTTCTCGTAAAGCAACATCCGCAGTAACCTTTCTGTGATGTCTTTGTTCAAGGGCGGGCTGAAAAAACGAGTCGTTGATGGTGTTCTGCAATTTATCTTTAAAAGTTGACAAGCGCGATTCAAATTACTTCGGTATTTCAACGACGATTGTTCTGGCCAGGTGAACATATCGTTCCCAAACATCTAAGAGTTGCAAAACGTGACCCAGTGAGGCTGATACTTTAAGCTCTTTGCAAATTTGGATAATAGATAAATTACTTTTGCAAGACTTTTTCATCTGCATTTGTATTTTCTTCTGAATCCTCTCGGTCTTCACTACACACAACCCCTATACGTTTCGTCCTGGGACGTCACAACAGGAGCGTGACTTGGGGGTGTAGGTGGGGTTCAGGTAGAGAGAAACTCGCTTGGTATAGGTATAATAAGATGTGTATTGATTAATAATAGTATTACCCTAGAAATGGTATCATGACGTCTCTTCTACGGAGAGACGTACTACTTATGGGCCACTCTGTATTAATTATGTACCCTCTGTACACTTGGCGTGACTGAAGACTGAAACTAGGTTTGAGACAGGTCCAGAAGGGCGTTTCACATTGAAGGTAGTTTGCACTGGACCTAGTCTGCGGCGTTCAATGCTCCCAGAGGGGCGTTTCCCATTAAAGGTAGTTTGTACTAGGAGACTTAGCTAGAGGGGCTTTTCCCATTAGAGGTAGTTCGCACTAGCATTAGTCTGCCGGTAATGGATTTCGGCGCTGTATTTATACCAAATAAATGCTGACTCGTCGACACACTTTAGTAAATTTGATGTACAGAGTAGTTACTTAAGTAGCTGACAATATTTCAGATGCTATCAAGCATGGCATACAATTAATGCGAACAAACAGTTGGTGGTCATAATTAGCCAGTCTCATTCATTGGCTTTAACATCACCTGCCTCAGTGCTTCGCTTTTATCGTTTTGGCAGAAAATACACCTACTTATGTCGACACAGTCAGTCTGAGCCCTGGTGACGTATCGAGATGACGACGGTTCTGAAGCAGCACATTCCACCTCTTGTGAAGGCGCTGATTTGTTCTTCAACCTTTCGAATCTTCCAGAATTGGCAAAGTTTGAATAGCATCCGCGGTGGTGCTTGAATTTCTCGTTAGTATTTGTCAACGTTTGTTCGATCCTAACGAGTCAATTTGTCGTTATTCGTCAGATCTGATCTAAAAACTGGTCCTTCGAACATTTTCTCTTCTGGCAGATAATGCATAGATTATGGTTGGACGTTACAGCCATATCAACTAAGGAGCCCACCTTTGACGCCATATCCTGCAAAAAAACGTCAGTATATATTACAAAAATTACAAAAAATACTAAAAGTGACACCTTCAGTAACCCAATTCTGTTACCAAATTGTATTTTGGATGCTATATTTATTGCTTAAAAATTCCTTGATAGATAGAGATATGGAGGGCATCCCTTAGTACTTAGGCATCTCGATTGGGTCCTTCGAGAGGCATAAGTACCAGAGGATGCACCAATCTGCCCTCCATATCTTTATCCATCAAGAAGTTTTCAAGCAATATGTACTACATACAATAGTCTACGTATTAAGTACACATTTAACCACTAAAAACTGAATATCTGACAGATATTACACTCCAAATACAAGAAGACGTAAATACAACAAAGTCTCGGCGACCATCTTCAGCGCCATCTTGGAACACACGCACTCCAGGCTCAAGGTGAGTAATTTCTGAGCATTTCAATATGATAAGCATCTGAGAAAACTACTAAGCCGGCGTTTAAATCAATATTTTAAGCCAACCGACAAGAAAGATATAGGGCAACAGAGGTTTGGAAGTCATCTTGGCCGCCATCTAGAATACCAGACTCCTCGTCCAAATTTCGCTTTGGCAAGAGGCAGATTCGTATTCTAAAGGCTCCAATTGTAACCATGCAGGCAAGTCGTTGTAGCTTAATCAGCTTTGCCGTGTAGGTGGATTTGCTAAATGCGTTCCACCAACCTAAGCTGCCGTACGTGATCACTGCTGTGTAAAGCTAGTGGACTAGTGGACTATGTGTGGTTGTAAGCCGCAGGTACGTCCTTTGGATTCTCTACACTACAGGCCTAAAGGCTAGCAGTGGCCCTGATCTTTCCAGAGGTCAGCCTGGAGTCAATGATGACTCCTAGATATTTGACCAAATCATCTTTCGACCATGTTAAGAGCTCTTTACATGATCCCTTAAGGGAGTCTAGTAAGGCTATTTCTGGTATCTCTATTTCTTCTGCAAAATGAACTTCTAACTTCTAAGCCATTGTGAATTGAATTAACTATTAGAAAGAACTTGGAAGGGTGAAACTCTCATGAAAACATACAAATATGGGAAAATGATATACCACTCAACCGACTATCAGAAAACTACCAGCAGAAACTATATAGCAATTTTTGAAGAAGAAAAATCCGATATATCTTTATCTAAACAGAAAACTCTAAAATGTATGATAATTCAGGTGGATGTAGTAGGTACCTACTGTTAAAGGATCTATAAAGAAATTATGCGTGAAGCAAATCAAATAGTTGAGTATGTAGGAACCAATTCGAAAATAGGAGAACTAAAGTACCTACCTACCTACCGGAAAATCCAGTAAAAAGTTGTCGAGCAAAACAGCAAAGTTTCCATCTAAGAGGATTCCGATTCATATTCAAACTTTTCGCTTTACACCACCCATATTTATATACAACCCCAAAAAGTTAATAAATCGGTTTATCTTTCTTTCAGGAACTCAGCAATTTCCATCAGAAATTCCCCCAAGAAGCTCTCCGATGGAAAAGAGACACATCTGCATCGATGGACCGTTCTCCATTCATTGATATGCTGTTCAATGTAAGTATACACATATTGACACAGATTGACCGCATGATAAGGGGAAAATGGCAACAGTCCTGGCAACCCATTAAACCACCAAAGGGCTACTGGTATTGATTCGCTTCGATCACATTAACCATAATTTATTGGGAGCAAGTTAGGTATGTAAGAATTCAAACACCTGAATGGTTTGCTTAATTATGGGCTGAAACTTTGGTCATAAGTTACGATGATGGTTTTCTTTATTTTAGCGTAAAAAACGAGAGCAATCCGGCTGGATGAAAAAAATACAGAGCACCATGTCTTATTTCAAACTTATGGCCAAGGTATGAATGTGTAAATAAACCCTTCTCCGCACCATTAATTATTTTTAGCTAAACTGAATTTGTTCATTCCAGATCCCAATCAAAACTCTGACAGCCATGAACAACCTGATCCAGGGATCCAGGCCGGCCATAAAAAAAATGAGAGATTTTGTTTCGAAGCGTTTCGAGAAAACCACGAAAGCGCCCGAAATTGAAACGAATTCGATTCAGAAACGGTCTCCTGTATACATTAGACCTGTGGACGAAAAAAATTAGTTGTTATGAAAATGTATAGTGTTTATTGTTATTTTTGTGTCATTTTATGAGTCGTTTGTAATTTTCATTTATACTTAAGGATGTTTTGGGACTGAGATTGGCAAATGGTTTATACATTTTATGTCGTAATTTTTTTCTTTTCTTCAAGCAATTTTTTCATTTTGCATTTCTCACTTCCTATGTTTATTTTTCTTTATTTATATTTTTTCAGCTTTTCTTAGTTCTTTTCTATAATCATATTCATTTATTCCTTTTTCAATATTTTAGTTTTACTGTTTTTCATTATTTATGTTTTCTGTTTATTTTTATATTGTTTTTATTTCAGTTCTTTGTTTGCATGTGCCTATATCATTCTTATTTTTTCTAAGCTTGTTCTACTTCTAAAACATAAAGATATAAACCATCTTGCATGATATGTCTGCAAAAATTTAATTGTAGATAGTGATAAAAAATAACCATATTTTTATAGATTTATGCTGTAATCATTTCTATTAAATTAAAATTGTGATACATTTTCCAAATTCAAAAGTAGCTATAGTGAAAAAATTTCACAGACGCCATCAAAAGTATTATAATAATGTTATCTAGTTTTAAATAAAATTGACAAATAAAAGAATAAATTTAAAAAAAAGTATTTATTTTCTACAGCTCACGCTTTTTATTCCTTTAAGAAAAATAATACAAATGTTCAGTTAGTTACTTTATAAATTAATAACTAAATTGAAATAAAATGGATCAAATTTAAATTACGGCTTTCACATAACACACGAAGGTTCCTCATTGACATCTGATTTTCTGGCACAAAGACAACTTTTGCTGCCTTTACCATCGGGAAGACAAATATGCTCTTCAGGACACCTGGTGTACTGACAAATGTTAGCCAAAGCTGGACAACTATTCGGTACTGCTGCCAAGCCGAATAGCTTGTTACCAGAACCACCAGCTGGTACATTCAAGGGCGGCAAACGGTTTAAGCTGTGCTTATCTACTCGCTCGATTTTTTTACTAGAAATATATTCAACTTTTAGTAAAGTGTATATTTTGGAAATAATTACTTACGATATCCAATCGGACCAATAAACCATTTTATCGGTAATTGCGATACCAAATGGATAAGTGCAATTAACTGCAATGGTTTGCACGCGTCTCGTATCAATTTGAACGCACTCTATCTTTTTGGTTCCTGCGTCTGAATAGCAAAGTTCTTCAGTGTCATAATCGATTGCTAAAGAATTTGGCAAGGATACTGCTGGACCTAAAAAATTGTTACATTTTAGTTAGGTAACAATTTGAAATCAGTACGTATATGGGTACCTTCTAAAAATACTCTTCTGTCAGTACCATCAGCGTTTGCCCATTCGATTTTGGGATGGGTTCTGTCCCAATCGGACCAGAAGATTTTTCCTCTTTGTGGATGGACAGCAATTCCTGAAACGGATTTTGAAATATAGAATCAACAATATTTCCATTTCCAATTTGCTTAAGTTGTTCTAATATCATCTCCACGAGCTTTTCCAGACTTCATCTCTTATCTGAGATCACAGCGCAAATTGAGGTAACGATCAGTAAAAGTTGTTTTGAAGAACACAGGGGTATTTTTCAATCTTACCTCTAGGATTAACCAAATTATTACTAATCAGCGTTCGTCTCCTCTTGGAATCCAAATTAGCAACTTCCACAGTATCCGAAATGGAATCGGTCCAGTAAATATTTCTTGAAACCCAATCAACAGCTAATCCTTCCGGAGCGTTAACATTCACTAACAAAAAATAACATAAAAACCCTTTTTTAAAAATTATACCCAACTTACAAGTCATAAAGTCACTATTATCGCTGCCATTATACAAAGACGTCCTAATAGCATGCAAACTAATGTCACTCCAATAAACACGTCCTTCCAAACAGTCAATGTCCAATCCTACTGCGGTTTGATACGTTTTTATTTGGATCGGCCTTCCTGGATTCCTCTTGTTGGCTTCCATGGGAATTTTGTGAGTAGCCCAACCTACAATTGCAATTCTGCTAGTAACATTTTTCACCAAGAGAAATAAATTTTACCTTGATTGAGCAACAAAAAGTTGCCTTCACTTCTTGCGATTTCTTTGCAGACTGAACCATTTCCAACGAAACCTTGGTTGCATTGACACATGTATTTTCTAGAAGAATCTGAAAATAACATTTGAATATTCTTATTATGACGGACTGGAGGGAGGGAGAATGTGAATGAAATGTTCAAAATAACTTTTCCATGAAATGGTTTGCTCAGTCACTTGGGATATGCTACAGGCTTTCCAAGAGCAGTAGATTTCCTCAGACTCTAATAGATATTATTACCTGTTACACATTGAGCATTCGAATCGCACATGGAACGATCCACGAGGCAATTTATTTCAACTTCACACGCGTGACCGTCTCCATAGAACCCTGGATTACATCTACAAACGTAAGTGAATTCTTCTTCGCTGTATTGACACGTAGCGTGCAATGCGCAATTGTTGAGCGTATCGCAGCCTACAGGTTTGTCTCTACACTCAGTTATACCTTAAACAAATACCATTATTTCTAAAACGCATTAGTGCTTGTATATTAAGTACCATCTCCTATGAATCCAGGCTTACAGGTGCAATAATTAGTTTGATAGTCTTCGTCGAAAACGCATTCAGCGTTTTCTACGCAAGTGCCGCCTAAAAAAATCATCCCAAATTATCAATTATTGAATCAAATTTGCTTGTGAAAAATTACCCCCACAAGTACCACCTATTGGTACGCAAATATGCTGCGAATCTCTTACGTGTCTATCCTTGCAAACACATTCGTATCTACCATTTTGATATAAACAATCTTCAGTATGGGTGCAATCGCTGTCAGAATTGCATGAAGCTAAAAACAAATAAAATGCCAATCATCTCCTGAAGAATCATGGAAATTTAGAGAATCACCAAAGGGTTCTTGAAAAAGAAAGTAACTGTTTGTATGAATCAACATCAACATTAGAAATTGAATGTTTTGTTAAATTCTGTATGAATAAATATATAGGTATACCCACCTATTGGCGCACAGCTGTAACCATCGCCTTCAAACTCTGGATTACATAAACACTTAGATTTCCCATCAGATTCGATGTAAGTGCAAGTTGCGTGCCGATCGCAGTTGTCCACTTCCGCGCACGATGGCGGTTCTTGATGGCAAGTAAATCCGTCGCCTGGAAATTTGAGTATTAGATTCGCACTCACACAAAATTGGAATTGTTACCGTCAAATCCTTCATTGCACAGGCAAAGATAGCCTTGTAGGATTTCGTTGAATAGGCAACGTGCATTGTAGTCGCAGTTGTTCAACGTTCTGCAGTCATCTGTAATCAATTAGAAATATACATTATTAAAAACAAAGTTTAATCTTACATTTTACATTGCTAAGCCCTTTCGTTATTAAGAGTTTTCCTCTTTTTGGATCTACTAAGCAAGTTTTATTGAGTTTTATGTAGCCGCCAGGACAAAAGCAAATGCTGGAATTATAGCATTGAAGTTCTGGCATTTCATTTTCATCTGAAATACACCTGGGCGTATAGAAATCCCTAGAATGTCCTCACTTACCGGGTTGTGCTGGCGTTGGAGCAGTTTTTTGTCTACAGTATCTGGTTCCAGTTCCAAATTCATAACCTTCGGGACACAAACAGGTTCCATCTTCTTGGCACTTTGGTTCCACCCATTCATTGTTCAATACTGAAAATATACACAATACTATTACGATAAAAGGAGACTGTTAGATACTAACCAGTTGCTGTTTCGATTGGTTCAGTCACAGTAGTGGATTCATCCTGAACGCAATAGTAACCATCCCCAACAAAACCTGGATGGCACGAGCAGCCGAACTGACCAGTTCTTGGATCGATGCTGCAAATGCCATAAGGCGAACAATTATTGCTTACGTCACATCCCTGGCTTTGGATCGCTTGGCAAATGTAACCGTCGCCCCTAAATCCGGCTAAGCACCTGCAAGCTGCTTGAGCACCGTTCTGAACGCACTCAGCATTTTCTGTACAGGTTATATTGATGCAGGAATTTGCCGGAATGCACCGTTTACCGTCACCATCAAAGCCCGGGTTGCAGCTACATTGGTAGCTACCAATGGTGTTGAAGCATTGTGCATTTGGGTCACATTCATGGTTGCTTTGGCACTCGTTTTCATCTACACAAGTTGGATCATTGCCTGAGAAGATTCTTTGATAGCCTGGATTGCAGACGCATTGAAACGAGTTACCGTCTACAACGCAAGCACTATTGGGACCACAACTTTGTCTACCTTCGATGCACGGATCATAATCTCCAATTGGTGTAATTTTATTGCTTAATCCAAACCTGATGATTTGTTCTCTACTTTCATAGCTAATAAAGTTTCGGCCTACTTTCAAAGTCCAGCTTTCGCCTACAGTATCATTTATGTAAGCACAAGAGCCAAATTCCAATGTTTGCTCTATTCTAAATACATTGGTGATTTCTTGTGCATCTTGGCTAGTGTAAATGTAAGCTCTATCAGCTGACATTTGTATGAGGCCTTTGGACGTTTGAGTATATTGTTCTTGATATTCGTCTATAATAATTTGGGCGTTTGGAGGTAGAGTGGGAATTTCGCCTTGAATATCGATTTCTACTTTTAAATAATCGTAAACGTCCAAGCCCAAAAACTTTTGATTGACGTGAACAACTTGGCTGGAGTTTAGGAAAGTTATTGTTGAAGTATGATTGAGAAGACCACCAGTTTTTTCAAATCTAGAGGAAAAGTAATTCAGCTAAATTTAATTTGGATAAAATATTCTTACCCGTTAATGGCACCTCTAACAGGTTTAGCGAACAAGTACCCAATAACGCTACCCAAAACTTGCAAAGTCTGAATGTCAGCACCAATAGATTCCGGTACTTTGGAAATGGCGGTGTAAGCCCTACCATCAGCAGTTACAATGTAAGACTGCAAGTCCAAATTTTCCAATCTTTCGCCGTTCAATTTTCCATTCACTTTTCCGTTGGCTCTCAAAGGTACTCCCTCTTTAATGCAATATTTACCATTTCCAATAAAAGTGTTCTTACATCTGCAGCAAAATCCTTCTTGATAATCGATACAGTCTGCTTGGCTGTGGCAAGCTGTCGGCACCTCAGCGCAGGTTAATGGATAGGCTGGATTTGGAGCTGGAAGAATTCTAGTGTAATTATTTTTTATGGGTTTTTGTACAGGTGGGTATACCTCTTCTTGCCGAGTCAGGTTGGATGATAGAATTTTCACTTATTTTAAAGATGAATTGGCCAACCAGATTCATGTTGGACCATCTGGAAGAGTTATCAATAAGGGTTTATTAATATATAAATGCGTGGTTTGTGTACTAACTCTAGCTAGAATAGTTTCATAAATTAGATTCAAGCTATAAGCTATTCCAGACAAGGATATTTAAACCTGGTGATCTAAATAGCCACTTACGCATCCTTCAGTTTATGAAGCCCGAGTGCCAAAAGTATAAAGCAGCAGATCATATAATAACATCACTGGACTGTGACATTCCACATTGTTGTAATATTATTAATGAGGATGTGATTTTGTGAAGCCTGCTATGTATTTTACATATCTATGAATTGTTAACCTGGCTGATTGTCAATTGTATTCTCGTTGGGTTGACAACGGTTGTTATAAAAAAAAAATATAAGAACTGTGAAATCACAGTGTGAAATCGTTTGTCGATAAAAGTTATCAGTTTATTTTTATTAAAACTCAATAAAAGTGTTTTTTCTGTGACGGGAAAAAAGTTGACTTTTTGTACCAGCTGACAAGGGCAAAAAAGTCACTTTTTCTCCCATGGGAAAAAAGTAACAGGTACCAGTCAATTTTTTTCCCGAGGGAAAAAAGTAACAGGTGCCAGTCAAATTTTTTTCTCAACGGGAATAACGTATAGATGAAAAATGTTGAGATTTTCCGGTCACAGAAAAAAATTGTGTATTATACATGGGAAAAAAGTAAGATTTTAGCGCGAGGTATGGTTTGTCTCCCGACGCGAAGCGGAGGGAGACAACACAGCGAGCGAGTACTTTTTTCCCTTGTATAATAAATAAGTATTTCTGCCTGTTTTACAGAACCTGCGTTGCCAGTATAGTCGTTTTTAGTCTTGAACCTCCAAATTTTTGAAGCAAAGTCATAAGATGAAATATCAATCTGTAACAATTTGGCAACCAAACTGGAGGGAATACACCGGTGGTGGATTGCTCTCCTAGATGTTGGCGATACAAAATTTTGTTCACTGTATTGTCTATCTGTGTTAATATGTCATTGGATTATGCTTATAGAAAATTTCGAAACAAGCGAAGAAATATTGGATAAACTAGATTAAATATATTTGCAAGACTGAAACTAATAAGATGATTTTACATGAACGTTTGAATCAGTACAAAATGTGTAGCAAAGATACAAATGCACAACACATAACATTACGAAGGTTGAAAACTTGGCTAAACAGGTCAGAGAAGCAGGCGAGACAGTGAGCAATGAAGCTATTATGATGAAGATAATTATTACTTAACCCCCAAAGTTTCGAAACTTCAGGCAAACATGGCTGTCCCTTGACGAAACTTAACAAACCATAACAAACCAGCTCGTTTATTAGACGAAGAAAAGACCCTAACGACATTTGAGTATTTCTGCGATAAAAGACATGGTCAAAACGGGGTTAATAACTGGAACAAGGTATCAATCGACATTCAGAAAAGATATTTCAAGAGAATTTTGGAACATTCGATTCGAGAATAAAGCAAGTTATCCAATTAGTGACTTCTCCGAAGTGTTTGGAACTTCAATCAAAAACCAATATTGAAGAGTTTTTGAGGAAAATTATAGAACATTCTGTACATGCCTATTACGAGACTACAAGCAAAAATGGAAGAACAAAAAATTGAAGAACAAGAAAAACAAGACGAAGAGGCCAGGCGGCAAAAAGAAAAACAAGAAGAAGAGGCTAGACGACAACAAGAAAAACAAGACGAAGAGGCTAGGCGACAAAAAGAAAAACAAGAAGTAGCTAAACGACAAAAAGGAAAACAAGAAGAAGTGGCTAGGCGAAAGAAAAACAAGAAGAAGGAGTTAATCGACAAAAAAGAACATGGAGAATAGGCTATACGACAACTAGAACGACAAGAAGACCTTGGAATACTGCAGAAAATATTTCAAACCATACAAGGAACTGTCGCTAACAAAAGATTGAGAAAGTAAAAGCCGAAGTTAAAGACGATGTTCAGCAAATAAGACAAGAACTTGAGGACCATGTTCATGCAAGATACGGTGAATAAATTAGAAATACAGTCCATTAATCTAGGTAGTGTTAGAGTCTTCTCTTAGCATGAAGATAAAACCACCAAGGGTTCTACGTCCTGGACAGTTTATGAAGCCCGAGTGTCAAAGTATAAGGCGGCAGAATATATAACATTCGAAGCTGATGGGAGGAGTCGGTATGGGAATAAGTAGGCCCAACTTTAAACTCTCCTCAGTAATGGGTAAAACGCCAACGGTTTCATTTGAGGCTATGGCGTCGAAAACAACAACTGAAATCGGCTCCGAAAAAATCGATAAAAAAGTGTGTAAACACTGCAAAAAAACAGTTAGTGCATCTGTAGATTGCATAACATGTCACTCTAGTTACCATCCGAGCTGTGCAAACCAAGCAAAAGTGGTCAATAGGGAAAATAAAGTGATTTTATTTACGAGTAATGTTTAATGTGCGTATTATATTTGTGATTTTGGCAGTATAATGACATATGTTATTCCTCCAGGGATTAATGACGAGTAGCGGGATTAATGGTCATTATTCCACAAAAGTGTCAGTGTCAAACGTGTAGTGCTTGTGGATTTGTATTGAAAATTATGAGACGGATGAAATTTTTTCATTGAAAATTTCAAATAAATTAATTTGTCGTAAATAAAGTAGAGTATACTACTCGCAATAATGGCTATTATTCCCTCGGAATGTTACTCCCTTGCCGCTAACGCGGCTCAGTTCGTAATAATCCTCGGGAATAATAGCTATCATTATTGACTCGTGGAATAATCTACTATTTTGTTGTCGTACAAGTGAAAAAAGTGAGGTTAGAAACTTCGAAAACAAGATCGAAAATTCACAAAAGCGGACAAAGGAGCAAATAAGCGATATGTTTGAGAGGTCTTCTTCAAAAAAGCTATAGAAGATGAGGTGGAAAGTTTCAAGGATTCAATGCAGTTCTTATCATGAAAATTCGATGAGTTCAATGAAACCACTGAAAACCTTGTGGAGGAAATAAAATGTGTGAGAATTGAGAATCATGAGCTTTAAAATCGAGTTCAATTGCTGGAATCCAAGATAAATAGCCAAGAACAGCGAGAAAAACAAAAAAATCTCATATTGGTTGGGGTACCAGACCAACCAAATGAAGACACAAAGGTAACTAGGAAGATACTCAGTGCTATGAAGGTCAACATAAACATTGAAGACATAAAGGAAGTATATCGCATTGGAAAACAAAAGAAAAACACGCCTATTATGCTAAAATTGGAAACAAGCATCGCTAGGCAGGAAATATTGAGAAAAGTGAAAGAACTGCGTGGGATTGAGATACAAGAATGCGGACAAAATTGAAACATCTTCTTCAATGAAGACCTTACACATCAGAACCAGATTTTGTTTAAAAAAGTCCGAGAATATAGGCTAGCCAAGAACTACAAAAGCGAATTTTACTTACTTGGTGAAATTTACCTGCAAAAAACTGATAGTAAGAAGCTGGTTCGCATTACAAGCGAAGAAGAGCTAAAAATGTTACTAGAAATAATTATGTAAAATTAAAAAGAAAGGCAGGAAAACAAATAAAAAACCATCAAAATGCCACAAAACGAGAAATTATCAAAAAAGTTAAATATTCTATATATAAATATAAGAAGCATAAGGAACAAACTACAAGATATACAGGATATTATTGAAAATGAAAAAAAAATAAAGATAAAATGTGATAATTCTCACTGAAACATGGATATATGAAAATGAGGCAAGCATGTTCAACCTAAATTCATTTACAGCTGTACATACATCACTGCAGAGATACAAGAGGAGGAGGCACTTTAATTAACATATGAAATAGCATTAATTATGTGCAAAATAATATAACTCTCACAGACCTAGGAGGGTTTAATGTACTCACAGTGGACACAGTGGAGCTTATAAAACAGAAGTTACATGTCTGAAGTATATATAGGCCACCACAGAGCAACGAAGCCAGATTTTTGTAAAAAATTTACAGAATTATGGAAGTGACAAAAAAAACTCTATTATTGTGAGTGGCATCAACATGGACTTATTCTAGGATACTCTGCAGCTGTGCGTAAATATGAAAACATCATTAAATCGAATGCTTATGACATCCAAAATGAACAAACCCTGAATATGGCAACCAGAATAGGAAAAACTAGATCATCAATCCTAGATCACATAATTACAAACAACAAATTGATTTGCAATGTTGAAGTCGAAGATCACATGATATCTGATCACAGAATAATATATATTTATGTTAATAAAGAAATAAAGCAAATCACTAGAGAAAAATTACCAAATACTAAATTTGATAAACAAAAATGGATCATGACTGTGAAAGAGAGAAGAGATACAACACAACCTATTGAATCATTTGTACAACTTTCTGAAATTCTGAATAAAACAAGACTAAAGTGCAGTAAAAACTATACTGTTAAGATAAGAAAAGACAACCATTGAATATTTAGATAAACTAAAATCTAGAGACAGGATATATAGGATATGGAAACAAGTACAAAATGAATATACAGAAAAAAAAAATCAAAAAAGCTAAAAATGAATTGAATAACTTGAGAGAAAAGCTACAAAAAGACTACACGGAAAAAAAAATGAAGGAAGCAAATGGTGACTCAAGGAAAACATGGGAGGTATTAAATTATTTATTAAACATTTTTCTAATGTTTAAAAAAAAAAACAACTACAATTTTGAAGAAGCAGAGCAGATACTAGAAAAATGGGAAAAAACAGATTTGAAGGAAATAAAGGACATAGTTAGTGAGCTAAAAAATAATAGTGCTCCCGGTGAAGATCAATAATTGACAAAAACAGACATTTTAACACTATTCGATGTGATTGGCAAAATCCTGGTAAATTTAGTAAATAAAGTAGGTACTTGAGAGTGGAAAATATCCAAAGGAACTAAAAGTAGCTAAAATGATTCCAGTATACAAAAAAGGACCAAATAGTGATGTGAAAAATCACCGCCCGATTTTCTTAGCACCTTCTCCAAGATTGTAGAAAAAGTCATGAAGAAAAGGTTAATTGAACATATCAAAGAGACTTTTCGATTTGACAAATAACAATACGGTTTTCAAAAACAAAGCAATACTTTGGGTGCCACAGTGGATCTTGTGGAGTATGTTAAGGAAGAGTTGGATAGGGGTAGACATGTTGTTCTGGTTTTTGTTGATTTGTAAAAGGCGTTTGACACAGTTGATACTGAACTCAAGAAAAGAAACTATAGGATTTCATGGTGTGTGTTTAATAAACCTATTACAATCATACTCTACCGATCGAGAATATTATACTGAAATAAATGACTGCAAAAGTGACAAAGTAAAATTTAAAGTCGGTGTAGCCCAGGACTCAGTGCTTGGACCTATCCAATACCTCCTATATGTACAGGGTGTCACTATATTTTGACACCCACCTGCAGCCGTAATTACAGGTGATAGGTAAAAAGTGTAAATACAAAAGTTGTAGCTTTTTATCTGAACCGCCAGAATTTTTAATTAGATGGAACAAATGAGCAAGACAGAGTGGAAAAATATGTCAATGTTCACTTTTTTTAAATGGAATGCACTTTGTTTTCTTTCAAATTCTTAAAGTTCTCGTTTTTCTGATTCAGATTATATAATCTGTTGATGTTTCTTTCAATAATTTTAGAAATATCTGGAGTTTAGTTATTCAAAGATCTATTCACGTATCACAATGTTTTGCGACAGGTTACAGGTAAATCAAGGTGAAATTTATTCAAAAAACTACTCTCTTCGAATAACTAAACTCCAGATATTTCCAAAACTATCGAAAGAAACACTAACATATTATATAATCTGAATCAGAAAAACGAGAACTTTAAGAATTTGAAAGAAAATAAAGGGCATTTGTACAATCTAATTGAAAATTCTGGCGGTTCAGATGAAATACTACAACTTTTGTATTTACACCGTTCACCTATCACCTGTAATTACGGCTGCAGGTGGGTGTCAAAATATGGTGACTCACCCTTTACATACACAACTTAAAATATCTTCTAATAAAATTGAAATATTTCATGTTTGCAGATGACACTATACTTACTTTCTCTGGAGAAAACCCTAAAGAACTTGAAAGAGTTGAATAGTGACCTGAATTTGTATCATAAGTGGCTGTGCTATAATAAATAAACAATTATTGTAGATAAGACTGAGTTTATGCAAATAGGGCGAAAGAGGTGTGATATGGTAGTGGTTCTGAATAGTGTGCAACTGAAGGATACAAAGCAATATAAATATTTGGACCTGATTCTCACAAACAATCTCAGTTGTTCTGCCCATATTGATAATATCATTGAAAAAACTATCACCAATGTTAGGAGCAATAAAAAAGTTCTCACATCTTTTGAATAACAGTGCAAGACTCTATAACAGTTTCATAGAACCTCATTTAAGGTATCTTCTGCCTTGCTGGGAAAACGCTCCAAAATACCAACTCGAAAAACTGCAAAGACTGCAAAATAAAGCTGTGAAAACCATATATCTTATGAATCAATATACTCCCAGTGTTGACACATACAAAAAACAAAAATCACAAATATGGACAAATTGAAAAAAATTGAACAAGTGAAACTCATATACCTACTCAATAAAGAATGAACTAATAAAATCAAATACAACGTTAACTCAAAGACAAAACTATCATACACATAATACCTACGTGACAAAAAGAATACATAGCAAATAAATTTTCGAGAGCTAAAACATCACAAGATTCTCCCATATACAGAAGTGTACAAACATTCGATAAAACTCCAAGAGATATCATAAATGTGCAGAATTATAGACTAATATGTTGTAACCTCAAAGACTACATAAAAGGAACAGAATGAACTAATTATTTTTTATTTTTGGATCAGGAACTCTATATTTATTTAGTTAATGTATTTCTATAAAATTAAATATAGGCCTTGCTGTCGCTATTTGGTACTGTTTAGGGGTCAGAAATACAGTATTTCTAAAAAAAAAAAATCAATCCGAGGTACTGGCTATATACATCTGTACGAACAGTGCCTTAAAAGAGGCCTTTCAAGACAGAATATTAACATACTGTCCGACAGTCAAGTAGCTCTAAAGGCTCTAGAAGCCATCAAGTGCAATTCGCAGCTTAAATATCCTTGAGCAAGAAGGAACAAAGTAATCTTGATGTGGGTGCCAGGACACCAAGGCATAGAGGAAAACCAAGAGACAGACTCGCAAAGCAAGGCGCTGTAACACCTTTTTAAAGCCCAGAGCCTTTTTGTGGACTAATGAAAAGCCACGTTTTCGCAAAAATGAACTTATGGAAAGGATAAAGCAAAGAGAGCTGAACAACTTCTTAACATGAACAGAAAAGACCGGAACAGTCGTTGGACTGCTCACTGGACACTGTCTGGTGAAATATCACTTAAAAATAATAGGCAAATCAGACAACGACCGGTGTAGATCTTGGGATCACATAACAGAAACAACAGAACATTATTTAATCTGTGAATGCCCTGCTCACTTCTGCAAAAGGCGGAAATATCTTGAATAGGTACTGGCTAACACCCTCAGAGGTGGGTACTTTACCACCCAAGAAGCTCCTTTGGGAGAAGCCTACAAATCTTGGACAGCAACTAGAAGCATCAGAATCACACACAAAACATCTGGAAAGATAACAGTGTTTGAGCGGCTAGAACAAGCTGTAACGACTCCAAATGCAATCTACAATCTACAATCTAGATTCAATTTCAATCAGTGACCGCTATTTTGAAGTAGTTCTGATTGGAATCGAAGCAAAATCAATAAATTAATGATGGGAAATGGCTTCTAGCTAAAACCCTGACAAATTGCAGCAACTAGCGACATTTCGGATGAAACAATATACAAAATAAAATCCATAATAATCCTATACGTACTTATCCAATTGTCGTATTTGTTCAGTAGCACTTCCAGGCAACGTGTGCATTTTGCCATCAGTTGAAAGAAACCCGACTTGAGCACGTGCGTCTGGAAGACCAGACTGATCGCCTGTGCCCTAAAATTTAAACAAAATCATTATTTGTCTCTGATGAAACTCTCAAACCTTATACCTGAATCCATTGAATACCATTTTCTGGATACAAAAGTTCAGCGTAGCTCTCTTGTCCGTCGGTTATCAAAACTACTTGGAAGGTATTCACTTTGTCCGCTTTTCTATCGAAATATCCAACGTCTACAATAAATGTAAGCTAGATTTTGTATTTGAATCAGCGTTGGGCGCTTACCGTGCCAAGTGACAATGAATAAACTTGTAGCCTGGAATTCGGCGGAATCGATGAAATTTTCGTGCACATTTTCAGTTGCTCGTTCCAGCATGGACGGGTCTTGAGTTTCATGGTAGGAAATGGTTCCAACTTCTCTTGTATCAACGTTTGAATAAAACGGCGCTATAATGGGGTAGTCTAGGGGAAATTCTATGTTGATGAAATGGGGAATTTCGGTTTGGAAGGAGAGGAAACCGTTGGAATTTACCTGAAATCATTATTACAAAATATTTTTATACATTTATCAGCGAGACCTTTAACAGGTTAATCATGCGATTTTTTTTACATAATCGACCAAATTTATGTTTCAAACCAAAGGTCAGTGAATCAAAAATCGAATAGTATTCCGGTTATTCACCCATACTGATTATCTATGTTTCCGAGCTCTAATGATTGCTTAATTCTATTGAAAAGCCATTCCATTTGAATAATAAACTGCTGCTTCCACGCTATTGACTTGTTGACAATATGGTAATTAGGCCAAACGTGTTTGTTTTAAATCTAAATAACTGCTAAATTTGGCAAAAATCCTTTACTCACATAAATACTTTTATAGGTAGATCCGTAAAATGCAATAGGAACTTGCAATTGAATCTCGTCGGTCGAAACATCGTCTTCGGCTGGTAATAATTTGGCAGTACTAACGTCAAATTGATACAAAAGTTCCTTTGGGATACTCCTAACGTCCGCACAAAGACAGCACAATAAAAAAATAGAAAATTTGAATCTCATTTTCGAAAAATTCAAATCCAGAGAAGAGGCCTATGCGGTAGCCGTCAATACAGCATTACACGAAGTGATTTTTTTTTTTCATTCATTTTCGAATTCTTATCGTTTCGTGACGGGGTCAGAGGGCGAAATATTTAAATAAAGATTGTTTTTGTTTCGTGCTTATCTGGGGCGCTCATTAAAGATGGTTGTCGTGGAATTGATATTAACTGTATAGGATTACCTTAAACCTTCTTTATAGGGGATTCTTGCACTTGAATTTGGTCCGGAAATTATTCCGACCTCAATTTTTTTGCCATTGGAATGTGTTGAATGTAATTATATAGAGAATTAGAACGTGTTTTAGAACATCCAATACCAAAATAGATATGGTAGAGATGTATGCTTCATAATCAGTCGAATAAAGTTCCAGAGGAAGTTGCCGAAGAGCTAGAAATGCTCCTTTAAAGTTGTTGACCATCCTTTGATTTCCAAATGCAAAAATCTGAAATTGCGAAAAAACTGACAATTATGTTAACTGAAATAGAAACAGTAGGACATACAGTGAGAGAGCTACTCTCAGATAATGGTGGGGTTAAGTAAGAAAAATTTTACAAGAAAGTGGAATCAAACACTGACTCGTAATGCCTTATACACCAAAGGAAAACGGCTGTACAGAGCGAAATAACTGTACCATCGTTGAAGTTGAAGAAACTGCTAGATCCATCATTCATGCTCATGAAGATCTTTCGCAACTTTTTCAGGCTGAAATAATAAATACATTGGCGTACATTTTGAATAGAAATGGAAATTCAAAGGAAAATCTCCATTTGAACTGTGGCATGAGAGAAAGCCTACCAAGCTTAACATAACCTCCAAGAAACATCTACCTTGAAAACTAAACCTATATTTTAAACTTTAAACTTTTAATCAATGTACATATCTTTTAACCCATAATATAAACATTAAATTTGCATGGCAACTTAACAAGTCTTTTTCCAGCATCAGGACCGATAGGACCATTTTTATCATATCCAATGTCAGAGTCAGGATGCGTATCTGTTGAGCTCTCAATAAAACTTCTCTGGGCCTGAGATACTTGAGAGTTATTATCATCATTGAGCTCATCAGATGTGCGATTATTCTTCAAATGGAAACTATTTCTACGGACTTCCTGACCATTATCTTTTTGAACTGTGTAGGACCTGGGAACAGACAATCTTTTAGAAACTGTGCCTGGTTGCCAAGTCCTACCCTCTTTCACATTCACCCTAATCACCCTATCACCAACTTCTAAAGGATCTTTAACTATAGTTTGCCTATCATAGTAGTATTTATACGCATAGTTTTCTTTTATTTTCAATTTTTCCTTTCTCCCTTTCATACTCAATGGTTTGAGGTTGTAATAGGTTTTTCATAACTGGTAGCTTAGCTCTGAGAGAACGGCTATTAACCTTGCGTTCGGTATTTTGCTCAAAGAGCAGAGCGTGCTGAGCGGAGCCGTAATCACGTGATCAGTGAGCGAACAGAGCAGTTGAACGCTGTATAAAAGTGCCAGAAATTTTAATAAATGAACGCGAATGAGGCTGCACCAAGTACACTTTTTAAATAAACGAACGGTAAAGTCAAGCTCGGAGAACTCGGACCAAAATAACGAACGCACGGTAAGAAGTTGGGATGGAGTTTTTTCTGAACCACTAATAGGTGTATTTTGATATTCTAAAAGTGCACTATAGAGGTCACTACATTTTTCGAGCATATTTTTAACTGCCTGCACAGCCCTCTCTGCTAGTCCGTTAGACCTAGGGTAATTAGGACTGGAAGTAGCAATATTAAAATTCCATGCCTGTGCAAACTTTCTACATTCAAATAAATTAAAGGGCATATTGTCTGCAAAAACCTTTCTCGGAATATCCTGAGAGGAAAATACTTGCTTAAAAGCCTCTATAACAAAGCTTAGTTTTTTAGATGCCAATTTAACAACCCCCAACCATTTACTCAAATAATCAATTACTACCAAATATGACTTGCCTTCATACTCCATAATATCACTGCCAACAATTTCAAAGGGAAACACTTTGGTAATTTTCGTAAAATAAGAGGTTCCTTTCGATTGCTATTTTTTTACTTTGCACATCTAGCACAACTTGTAACTAGCTCCTCTATGTCAGAATTAATTTGAGGCCAATATAAAATTTGCCTAGCTCTTTACTGAGTTTTACTAACACCATAGTGATTTTCGTGAAGCTGTTCTAGCATTTTATTTCTGAGTGATTTTGGAACAATTACTCTTTCATCTAAGAATATCAAATCGTTCAATATGTAGATATTATTTCGTTTTCCAAAATACTTTTTAATAAGATCAGGAACTTGTGTTATGCTAGATGGCCAACTCCTATTACAAATATCCATTAAAACTTTAAGCTCATCGTCTTTAGATGCTTCTACCTTAAACTCTATTCGCCGCTCATTCGACAAATTTATTGAATGAACAATATCAGTTAAAAAATTCTGATCACAACCAGACTCCCTATTATAGTTACGTGAAAGCAAGTCAGCTATAAGCATCTTCTGACCAGGCTTGCAATGAACAATTACATCATATGTCAAAAGTTTTACCTTCATTCTTTTAACCCTGCAGTGGTGGCGCCCAATCTCTCATGCCCGAGCTTCATAATCCAATTTATAAAAAGTGTGAGGATTAATTTGCGGTCTTCGCCGTTCCAGTACCTTCCTATAATGTAGTTTACTAGCGAACGTCATAAGTGTTATGTGCTAAACATTTTATTGAGCGGCTTGGTAATAGTTTTGGGTCTGGTGGACTTGGCGCCACTGCTGGCGATTTGCCGATGGTGGTGTTTCAGAATATTTCCACCTCCGGTAAGTCTGTTGTAAGTTCAGTTTATATGTACAATTATTGTATTTCTTATGAATTTGTACAATTATGAGTTATGAAAAAGATTAACCTCGAGTGCTTATGTTATTGGGGGAAGTAGAGACTTATACCGAGGGAAATTTTGATGATGAGGAGTCTGAAGCAGAGGAAGACAATATTGAGGAACGATCGTGGGAGCAAGATGGTGGAGATAAACCAGAAGCAGAACCAAGTGCATAAATTCATCGATTTTCTACTTTCATTGGAAAGGATGGTTCTGTCTGAAAAAAAAAACATGGTCAAAATCGAAAACTTTATTTGTTTATCACATGCTGTTTTTACGTGTCTCGTTTGTAAGCTAATACCCTAATTTTATACGACATATGTTTTGTAGATTATAGTTAAGAAAAAAAAAATAGTTTAGGAGTCTCTTTCAAGTCTTTACTGATATATTTTAATTTCCTTTATTATGTTGTTTTATTGTTCACTGTTTATGGACCTTTTGTATTTCTGTCAATTTTTGGCACTCCTAAACAAAAATTATTTTCACATTTAACAATAAAATAGAAGCAAACACTCTCTAAAATGAAAAATAATGGTCCCAGTCTAAATATTTCATTTATTTCCATTATTCCATGATTTTTTAAGAATATGGGTCTCTCAGACTTGGCGCCACTACTAATGCTAAAAAAGAGGCGCCATCACTGCAGGGTTAAGTCTTTCTTGGAGATTGCACTTCGGCAATGCCCTATTTCATTATTGCCTCACTAGGCTTATGATCTGTATGAATGACAACATGGTACCCATAAATATAGTTATGGAATTTTTGACAAGCATAGACCACTGCTAGGAATTCTTCTTCAATTTGACTGAAACGCGTTTCAGCTGCTGCTAATGATGGCGATACGAAAGCCACTGGTTTAGTTCTGCAGGAGCACACAGCCCAACCTAACTTACTTACATCTGTTTGAATAACTGAGGATAAAGATTCATTAAAATTAGTCAATACCGGTGAAGAACTGATCAATTTTTTAATATTATTTAAAGATTCCGTATGTTAGGCAGTCCACATAACCATACCACATCTTTCTTAAGTAACTCTCTCAATGGTGTTGATATCTCTGATAAATTGAGTATGTAGTTTCCTAAATAATTAATCATTCCTAGAATTCTCTGAAGTTCTTTTGGCGGTTTTGGCTCCTCAAGGCTCATTATCGCCAGAATTTTATCATTGGTGTCATACCCGATTTATTAAAAATGTTTCCCATATACTTCACTCGATATTGCAATTTGCTACTATTAAACTTGAAATTCAAAGAGCGAGCTCTCTCAACAACTTAGCCAAGATTCGATCATGCTCCTCCAATGTTTTTGCGGCAATCAAAAGGTCATCAAAGTATACAATTACCCCATCTATATCACCAAAGTTTTCAGTAATAATCTTTTGAAAAAACTCAGGTGCAACATTTAGACCAAAAGGAAGTCTCAAGAACCTGTAGACGCCGAAAGGACAACCAAATGCGCAGAGCCTGCTCGAATCCTCATCCAAAGTTACCTGATAAAACCCATCCTTGAAATCGAGTACAGAAAAGTTATTTTTATTGTTTAATTTTGCTTTTATCTAGAGTTGGAAATTCATAGACTTTTCTAATGCATTATTTAATTCTCATGGATCTAAACACAATCTTAGCGATCCATTCAGTGGGCCCCTTAGCAATTTCTCCTTTATTAATCAATTCGTCAAGTTTACATTTTTTTGTTAAACTGGCCCAATCCCATGAGAATATCTTTGTTATTTTACAAAAAGATCCTTATTGCTAGTTACTTGAATATTTTAAACTTCTTTTTTTTTTATTTTTATTTATACTGTCTTTAATCATTCAGTCAAAAAAAAAAAAATGCGTGGGAGACTGTAATATCCCCTGTATATTTTATAATTCCCTTTTTACTTAAGATACCAGTACTGTCAATGTAGATTAGAGTTGTCATTATAGTTATTAATGATACAAGTTCGACGTCTTGAATCACCCCTCCGGCCGTAGCTGCCCTAACCTCAAAATCTTAGATCGCACTATGGGTCATGTGATACCTTGTTTCAAAGGTCTTTTAATTTTCTTAATGGATCTGCAAAAAAAATATATCCAGATTGAAATGTGACCCTGTAAGATATTTCTTAGGAAACGAGAACCGATAGAGAT